ACTATCCAAAATACTACAAAAACAAATACTACAAACACAAGTACCACCACGACAAACGTGATGCCAGTCCCGAACCAGTAGCTGATGCTGAACCAAATGCCGACGCAGATGCTGAAGCATACTACAAGAAATACTATCCAAAATACTACAAACACAAGTACTACAAACACAAGTACCATCATTAGAATAATTAACATGATGTTAATATCATGGAACTTTTATTAAATTTTATATTATATTATTATTTTTTTTTTAATATATAAAAATAAATAATAATTAAAAATATTTCAATGTATTAATAATAATAACTTTATAAAAAATTTCAGTTTCTAAACGTGATCCTGAGGCATACTACAAAAAATACTATCCAAAATACCACAAACACAAATACTACAAACACAAGTACTACCACCATAAACGTGATGCCAGTCCTGAACCAGTAGCTGATGCTGAACCAAATGCCGAAGCCGATCCTGATCATACTTAGTAGTCGAAATAGTTATGTCAGAGAATGCTGTCAGGTCTTCACTAGCATCCTAAAATCCCACCCTTCACACTCTAGGATGATAGCATGTCCTTTGCATAGAAAATCCATCACAAAAATCACGGATATAAATTTTCAATTAACGTGTTCAACATAAAGAATTCTTTAGATTATCCCGAAAAATTATTAACTGGGACCACTAAAATCATGTATATTAATTAATATTAATATGGTTGTAATCATCATATGCTTTGCGTGTCGAGGGAAAAGTTGATGCATGTACGTTGAGATTGAAGAAAAACATAATCAAAGAAAAGAATGTTATCTTTACTTATGCATTCGTACATGTACGTGTCGCTAACAGTTTTAGGATAGTTGGACGTTGATAAAAATTTATTATCATTTACATATATAAAAAGATGTGCCTGGGAGATTTCTTTAGAGTATATGTATTAATTCTATTCCTCTATGGGGAAACATGAACCGATTTCTTTAGCTTAAAATCGTAGCCGCAGTTTTAACGCACTGCAAGTCATGAAGTCTTAAAATTTATATGTCTAATGATCTCCCCTTGGATGGGTATTTAAAGTTAACTTGCTTCATGCAAATAGCTTTGGCTTTAAGAAAGATACGGATAATCAAAAAAATTACCATTGGATCAGTCAGTACTAATACCAAAAAGTATGCATCAAATTTTACCTGGGATTGACACTAACAATTTCCCATCGTCACCATCACCACTAATCGAATTTGAAGAAATAGACCTTAATAAAATCGTATAACGTATAGAGAAGAAACATGGTCAAATCTTTACAAAGCGAAGATTTAATATTGGATACCAAACACGATTTATACGAAAAAGATCCGATCGAAGCAATTTCACTCTGGATCAGTTAGTTAAAGAGTCTTTGTCAAGAATCGATTCAATGCACCAAAATCATTTTTTTTGAACAACTAATAGTCGACTACTAATACTACTAATACTAATACTAATACTATGTTAATATTATTATTGTCTGGCCAATTACGATTTTTGTGTTTTATCATTCAAAATGGAAAATTTCTATGCGGAAGAGTATTAATACCATCAATATGAAGATGACGACAATAATGGTGGTGTTGTTGATGATAATTTTACATGTGAACGAATAAATACTTCTGATACAAGGTCTAATGGTTCATTGGCTTCAAGTTCCAATGATTTAAGCGGTGGTTCTATATAGGAGACCTTTAAAAAAACGAATCGTAACACATGGTTTTGTGTGGATTTATTTTGAAATGAATTCGTAATTTGTAAATTAAAAAAAAAATTTAGTCGGCTAAGGATTTTTTTGGACGATTCCAACCTCTAGATTTGCACGATCCTGACAAGCAGGGCTGCTGTATGGAGTAATAAATGATTGCTTATCGGATGTTTTTTTTTGTCTATTGGAAATTCGAACTAAAGGTTTAGTTTATTTTTACGCTAAAGAAAAAGATGGACAATTGGTAAACGGAGGAGGAGGGATTAGGGAACACGTTCGAAAGTTCCAGCCAATATTTATTTATTTTGTATGTGTACGTGTGAAATAATAAACATGGCTGACCATAATTTCTTTTATCATCAAGAAATACAACCTGATATAGCATCTAAATTTGATGTATTGGCTGGTTCCAACACGTTCGACATTACACATATCCTTAATAATCAAAGAATTTAGTGATGCACGATGAACGTTTATAATTATCCAATTTGCAAAAAGAATTTACACAAGAGAAGCCCACTTAGTCCTTATTAATATCACGATACAATCGTGGTAGAAGAAAATGTGACGATTTTTTACTTTTTGTTTATTAGCTTGCCATAAAATTATTCTACCAAGGAATTGCAAATAATAATAAATTATTATTTTATTGCTATTTAGTTATTATATAGTATAAAAATAATATAAAATAGTAAAAAAGTGTCTTTACATTTAATAAATGCGCTAATGATAAATAATGATGATAATAATAATAATAATAATAATGATGATGATAATAATAATAGTGACATAATAATGTTAAAAAAATAAATAATTCAACGTAATCCCTATTATCTACTATTTTTATGAATAGAAGATGAAAATCTGTTATTATATATATACATGTATGATACTCATTCAATAAAACACACACATATAACTAACTTACAGGATTGCAAAAAAATTCGATAAAGTTCCTCATAACTCGTCATTTTCCGTGTTGCGATGCCTATTGCGTGCCTGCGGTGTATTGCCCCTCTAGGGGGACAATGATACTTGGTGGTGCTTGAGAGAGACCCAATAATAGGTCCTGATAATTATTTAAAAAAAACTGTTGTCAATAATATTGAAAACTAAATGAATAACAAAAAATAATAATTCAGGAACAAATTAGAAATTAATTAACTTACCATTTCTGTTCTTGGAAGGTGCTCGTAAAGAGTATAATCGTGTGGTTGGAAAATATAAATATAAACGGGATCATGGGGAAGTTGTTGATCACAATAATAATAATAATTATTATTATTATCATCTTCAGTAGCAACTCCTGGTATAATTGCTGTATCTGTTGGTATTTGCATTGTTGCCGTTGGTATTGTTGACGTCGATATTGTTGACGTTGATGATAATTTATCATCTTCTTCTTTGTTATTATTACCGCCATTATTATTATCATCACCATTATTATTATTATCAATATCATCGTTATTATTGTCATCTGAACATAGAATTTATTTAAAAGCGTTTAATAAAAAAGCAACAAAAGATTTGTTTTTCAATTAAAAAACAAAGAAACTTACCAGATATTGGCTCTTCGAAAATGATAAACTCGCTGAACAACGAGTCATCATTTACACTATTATATTCCTCAATATTCATTGATCCTTTAGTGTAATCGAACAACATTCCTTCACCAAAGATATTTTTATCTTTGATATCGAATGGGGTATCTGGTGGTGATGAAGGAAAGGATAAGGGTAAGGGGGGGAGGAAGGGAGAAAAGTTAGAATTCGGTGAAAAAGTGGCAGTACTTGACTCATAAGGTGAGACGGGAACATTGTTATCGTTGTTAGATATAATGTTGTTGTTGTTGTTGTTGTCACTATTATCAATTCTATTGATAGTGATACAATTTATTGCCTTTTGATTCGTTTGCCTAGGTGGTGGCCCACGCCTGGGTTTTTCTTGTGGAAATTCACAAGATTTGCTTGCTTGAGTTTTGCATTTGCCACAAGCTTCAAGTTTGGATATATCTGTATCTTTAATATTATTTTTACAAGCTGAAAACACAAGAAAGTAATAACATCAAAGATGTATTTTAAAAAGTTAAATCACGAATTACACATACCCATCAGAAAGAAATGGGATAGCAATGCAGATCAATTAAGGCAGACAGATGAAATGATTGCAAGATTGCAAGAGAGAACTTTGCAATGAGGATTGGATTGTTCTTGTCAAAACACATATAGTTATTCTGAACTATCTCAAGGAGTTAGGGATTATATGATTAAGTTGAGTTATTGATGTTAGCATACACAACTACAGGTAGGTGTGGTTGAAATAAACATAAATGATCTTTATTAAAATCAAAAAACCAGACTGGCATAAATATATTTTAGGGGGACAATGATACTTGGTGGTGCTTGAGAGAGACCCAATAATAGGTCCTGATAATTATTTAAAAAAAACTGTTGTCAATAATATTGAAAACTAAATGAATAACAAAAAATAATAATTCAGGAACAAATTAGAAATTAATTAACTTACCATTTCTGTTCTTGGAAGGTGCTCGTAAAGAGTATAATCGTGTGGTTGGAAAATATAAATATAAACGGGATCATGGGGAAGTTGTTGATCACAATAATAATAATAATTATTATTATTATCATCTTCAGTAGCAACTCCTGGTATAATTGCTGTATCTGTTGGTATTTGCATTGTTGCCGTTGGTATTGTTGACGTCGATATTGTTGACGTTGATGATAATTTATCATCTTCTTCTTTGTTATTATTACCGCCATTATTATTATCATCACCATTATTATTATTATCAATATCATCGTTATTATTGTCATCTGAACATAGAATTTATTTAAAAGCGTTTAATAAAAAAGCAACAAAAGATTTGTTTTTCAATTAAAAAACAAAGAAACTTACCAGATATTGGCTCTTCGAAAATGATAAACTCGCTGAACAACGAGTCATCATTTACACTATTATATTCCTCAATATTCATTGATCCTTTAGTGTAATCGAACAACATTCCTTCACCAAAGATATTTTTATCTTTGATATCGAATGGGGTATCTGGTGGTGATGAAGGAAAGGATAAGGGTAAGGGGGGGAGGAAGGGAGAAAAGTTAGAATTCGGTGAAAAAGTGGCAGTACTTGACTCATAAGGTGAGACGGGAACATTGTTATCGTTGTTAGATATAATGTTGTTGTTGTTGTTGTTGTCACTATTATCAATTCTATTGATAGTGATACAATTTATTGCCTTTTGATTCGTTTGCCTAGGTGGTGGCCCACGCCTGGGTTTTTCTTGTGGAAATTCACAAGATTTGCTTGCTTGAGTTTTGCATTTGCCACAAGCTTCAAGTTTGGATATATCTGTATCTTTAATATTATTTTTACAAGCTTTACACCTATTCATGACTCTCTTTGTACAATTCCCACACGGAGTGTTTCCAGTACACTTGGTTTTACTCTTTTTACATTCTAGACAAGCAGTTGTAACGTTTTTACGAGTAGGTTTTTTTTTTCCTCTAGGCATATTTTTTTTCCTCCACTTTTTCACCTAATTCACTTTCGATAAAATACGGTTGAAATAAAAAAAATTTTTTTTTTAATAAATAGGTTATTCGAAAATAAATAATACGTAAAAAAATAATTTATATTTATCATATAAAGAAAGGATGAAGTTTTTTTTTTTTTTTTTGAGATAAAAAATCTGAAATTTCAGATTTGAGCAAAAATTCATCCATTTATTACAAAAACTTCAATTACCTTATCGGTAAACAATGGTTAAAGAAAGATAGATTTTCTCCTGAGAAACAACGCCTTAACTTTTGTACGACATTATAATTAAGGTTATTTATGTTATTTATGTTAATATTTTCTTTTTATTTTTCCCAAATCAAGTTTGCCACAAAACATGTTACTTTAGAAAAGCTTGGCACTACGCTTGAAGGTTTTTCAAATTCCTTAACCTATAATGTTAATAATACTAACACTGACAAAAAAAGTAATTATAACATTGGGGAATAGGAAAATTAATATTATTTATTGTGTGTGTTTCTGTATGAATTAAAAAATTTTATATGAAAAAAAAAGAATTGCGGGTTACACTTCTCTTTCACCGCAGATTATTATTCACGGGTACTATACTGCGTTCATTGCGCTATTCAGTTTCCAAAAAGGATAAATTTTTAAAAAATTTTTGCCCAGGTCATATGAAAATTTGGGAATCATAATTTTTTGCGGATAAAACATCATATGAACATATTGAGTAAAGTTTTAAAGTCATATGCCGATGTGGGTAAAAATTTTTGGCCAAGTGATCCTTTGTACTACAAAGGATTTTTCAAAATTGTTTAACCATCACTAATACCAACATACCAACATAATAATATAATGCCTCACCCATAGACAAATTTTAAAATACTCTGTTGTTTGTTTTATAAATTCATTTTATTTATATGCCACGTGAAATCCGTTGAAAGTTTGATATCTATCGTTGATCGGCGGGCCACTAATTAAGTTAGAGATTTAATGCCCTCCAGTATAGTAATTTTGCACTGATTACCTTTAGCCAAAACTTTTTAATTGACTGATTATAAATTCCTCGTGATAACTTGTTGAGTTAGCAAAATATTTTCTCTTTCAGTAATATTCTACATCATTACAATATGTAGATGTTCTAGTGGCGGAGGTGTGATATTTTGATGAAATGGCTTAATTTATACATCTGTTTAACACGTCATTATAATTTTTAGATGATCATGGGCTGTGGCTTTAATGATAAATACAATCTACTTATGACTCAGCTTCCTCAACTTTATAACTAAATCATCTACAACACAATATCATTAAGAAGAAATTACATCCAATAATTCAATTATTAAAAAAAATATATTTATGCCAGTCTGGTTTTTTGATTTTAATAAAGATCATTTATGTTTATTTCAACCACACCTACCTGTAGTTGTGTATGCTAACATCAATAACTCAACTTAATCATATAATCCCTAACTCCTTGAGATAGTTCAGAATAACTATATGTGTTTTGACAAGAACAATCCAATCCTCATTGCAAAGTTCTCTCTTGCAATCTTGCAATCATTTCATCTGTCTGCCTTAATTGATCTGCATTGCTATCCCATTTCTTTCTGATGGGTATGTGTAATTCGTGATTTAACTTTTTAAAATACATCTTTGATGTTATTACTTTCTTGTGTTTTCAGCTTGTAATAAATGGTTTAAACAAACAATCAGCAAGCCGGTTGCTTGAATTCTTCACAAGTGTTTCACAGGCATTAGTATATTATATAGATTGCTGCCTCATTTTAGAAATTTGAGGTGCCTCCTGACCAATTGTCTGTTTTGTAAATGGAATAAAAGAATGAGCCTTAGGTTCACAAATTTTCAATTGTTATGGTTGAATGCTCATTCCATTAACCTTGTTATTATAAGCAGTCAGTATCTTCAAGTTTTTTATATTTGTTCCAAAGAAAGCTGTACAAGTGAGGTTAATGAATATTGATTCTACATTCCTAAAAATGAATTTTCTTAACTATTAAAAGTACATTTACTGTTGTAAAATCACTGTATATATACTGAACATCACATCATTATAGGAATGATGACAGATGAAAAAACTATATGACGAAAGTAAGTTTGTCTCCCTACTTCCAAGATGTGTTGCTATTTATCTCTCAGAGTATGGACCTTCCAGTTTTTGCCTCAAGTGACTTACTTCTCTATAAAACACTTGTAATTATCTTTACACCACATTGGCTGTCTATTGCTTTTATCCTTTGTTACAAGGAACACAAAGTGGGTTTTGATTATCAGGATGGAATTATTATCATTAGGAGTTTTTGTATCTGATTAAGCCAGTTAGATGTGGGTCTGCCAATTATCTAATCAAATTCTTAGGGTATAAATCCTACTTGCACTTCTTCAAGCATTTTTTAAGTGTTTGCAAAACTAAGGATGATGATCAAGAAAAAGAATCGACCACGTAATTCAAATCAACCATCCAATCAAGTTTACCAAATTTATCATGTGATTAATCCAATTAAAACTTTTTGCTTCAATTTCATAGAAAAAAATATATCCACCATTTCTTCTTACCCTTCCTCCTCTTCGCATGATAAACCCGTGCCAACTCCAGCATTTACAGATACATACAGTTCAAATCTAAGTGATGAAAAAAAAGAAGAAAAATATGTACATGAAGTTTATGAAGCTATTGCACCACACTTTAGCCAAACTAGATATGGGACATACTGCAACAAAACCAGACAAAGTGAACCAAGAATTTCAGGGATCAAAATTTAGTCATTTGTTAAGTGATATGTAGAATTGCCCATATATAAAAATAACAATATGAAGCTAATTTACATTAGGTCTACCATGGAACCCAAGAATTACAGCACCATTAGAAGTATTTTGAAAAAGGAGCAAGGTGAAAAAATTGCTCCTAACATTTTCAAAATAAATGACACTCAAACACTGGAAGCTTATCTAAGGAAAGGAAGGATTACTTATGAAATTTACCATAAAGAAAGAAAAATAATAAATGTTAGAAAAAGAAAACATCATTATGATGTATTATTACCTAATAAAAACCAAAAATCTTTAAAAGGAAAATAACTATCATTTTCTTTGATAGTTGGAATTATACAGAGGGAAATAACCAAAAATTACTTTCTTATTTTCAATCAAGGTCATTTCTTAGTTTCTTTAATTTCAACTTGTGCAGTTAATTGACCATTCTGTTGTAATTGTTCTGACTGGTTCTTTAATTTCTCATTCTCTGCCTCACAAGCATTTAACTTATTGACTAACTCTTGAGGGGTTAAAGTTTTCAATTGTTCAATTTTCTGAGTCAATTTAATAATTTCTGTTTCTTGTTGTTTAATCTTATCTAATAATTCCTGTTTCTGTCTTTTGTTTCATTCCTCAGACTTTTCTTGAAACTTGGCTATTTCCTCTCTTTCAATTTCTAATGCTTCTTCAGCAGTGGCTAATTCTTCTTGTAATCCATTTATTTGTCTTTCATAAAAAGCAGACTGACTTATTTCCTCACTAGGCAAAAGAGGGAGTTCATTTTCTTCCATGTCTTCTTCATATCTAATACAAAAACAAACATATTTATCACCACAAACATCAATATAATGTTTAGTTTGTAATCTACCACATCTTTCGCACTTTTCCAATTCATCATTCTCAAATTTATCCTTACAACTTTCACACACTACATCATCTGCAACATATTTACCATTTACCTTAACACAAGCTACTATTTGGTTAACAGATTTATTATCCTCTCCATAACAATTAGAATAAAAATCACATGTTTTCCAACTTGACCTTTCTAAATCTAAAAGTGTGTAAGTTAGTTCTCTCATTAATTATCTACTTACCTCTATTCTAGCAACTAACTCTTGGATTTGGCATTTTTTGTTTTCCACCAATTGATGGAATTCAGTTTTTAATTTTGTCCTTAATTGTCTAAATTTGCTTTGCTTTTTAGGTAAAGCAGGTAAATCCTTTTCAGCTAAATGCAATTGATTTTGCAATCCTTTGTTTTCTTCTGTGAGATTTTTGTTTCATGATTCTTTTTCTGAAATTATCTTATTAGACACTTCTATTTTTTTTAAAATGAAGAAAGAGTACCAATGGAACAAACAATTTTTTTAGGAGATTACGAAAGGCTCGATTGAAGTCTCGCCGCAGGAGTGGTTATATATATGATGGCTACAGTGGATTCTGGCTGTCATATATACATTTCGAGTCGTTAAAATCTTCAGACTTGCTAGCCATGAGGATAGCCGTGGTAATCAGACGGACAATTTTAATAATTCTGACACTTTATTATCAATCTATCAGAATTATAATATATTATTATTAAAAATTTTTTTAAACACTGGAATTCATTCCCATATTGACGAGAGCTCCTGTTATTTCCTCAAATTTTTTGGGTGAATCCGCACATCAATTACTTTCTTTACATATTAATAGAATGACCTTTTTATATTGGGTGTGTTGGATTCCTTTGCGTGGTATTTCTTCTAGAAACACGGATGATCCAATGTTTTGTTTTTTTTTAGAATAAAAAAAATAATGATGATGAAGGAATCATGTCTAGTGGTAATACACATACACTGAAGCGTATACTAAAGCAATTAGCAGTAGGATAATTTTAAACAATAACCCAGGAACTGGATCAAAAGCGATTCACTCTTGATAATATTTATACATTCATCTTTAACGGATAATGCAAATATACAATAAACACCACAATTCCTTCTAATATAAACATAGATACCACTGCAAATATATATTGCGAGCTCTAACAACATCATTAATAATATTGCTGTTATGTAAATAGCAACACGTTGGTAGACGGTGATAGCAATAATTCGAACGATGTTTTGGGGCCCAAGAGGTGTCTTTAGAACAGCTTGGAGAAGCCGAAGGAAAGTTCTTTGATTTTGTTTCTTCTGCTTTAATTTACATTAACTAGAACTTCTGTTTCAAGCATATCATCATCATACTTTTCCTTTTTGCGAAGAACCGAATAGAGTATAACATTACTATCTGTTATTGTCATAGTGATAGTATGCATTAATAAATCTTGATAAAAATTGTATTATTTAAAGAACAGCAAAGACTCTTCATCAAGCTTCAGTGATTGGTTCATTGTTTAGTAAAACTTCACTATATTAAAAATCATCATAGCGAGCAGAATTTATATATATAATCAAATGGGAAAATCTTCGACTTCCTTATATTATACAATTCACTATATAATAGGTTCACCGACCGTATAAAGATAAATGATGTTTGTCAAACAGAATATTCATTAAAGACGTCTCATACAGCCAGTGTTTATTAGACACATCGTCATTTTTACATTGCCATGTTTTTTGAAGGCTAAATTACATATATAAACCCTCCCCGAGAATATCACTTCCTAATATGAAAATGAGATGTATGATTTATAGATAAAAATTCGGACATCTCCTTTCGGTTTTTATAAATCTTATTTAAAAGACTGTTTTTCGCTTGGCCAATCATTAAATTGGCCTGATACATGAAATCGCGACCAAAATGCATCATAAGAGATACTCGCAATAAAGTAAAGTCATTTATTTTTTGATTGTAGGTCAGGATTGTCTTTCGTCGTCGATCTAACATCAGAATTTTCGGGTAGCTTGTGTACCTGGTTTGAAGAGTAATGAATGATATGCATGTTTTTGTTAACGAGGATGGCAAGGAAATCAAATTGATAGAAGAAAATGAGTAACAATGACCCTTGATTTGGATGTTGTTTTTTCAGATTTCAGTAGTGTTGAAATCCAATTTGCAAGATATGCTTTCAATGTTCTTATCACCGAATTTGTATTGCGTTTATTGATACTCGATATTTGATTTTGTGTTAAGATTACATGGTCAGATTATCTAGAGACTGTTAATGAGGAATTCAAAAAACTCAAAGATTATCATAACGTTTCACAGAAATTATTATAAATAGTAGATAAGAGATTAAAAAAAAAAATCTTTCAAAAAATTTTTGAAATAAAATTATGTTGACACACCCTCAAATCAAAGGTAGAGAACATATCATTATTATGTTAAATCACATTTTACATATTACACATTATATTATAATATCATAACATCATATAATATTTGTTATTATTATATTATATTAATTATGTTATTATAATTTATAATCTTTTAGATGGATGGTTCACTGAAAAGGCAGCTTTGTGGCCTGGACAAGGTATTAATTTTCCTGATTTTTTAATTTGATGAAATGATAAATTTTTCTTGCATCCTTACAAAAAATATTGTGTATATAATAGCGATGAGTTTACAAGTTAAAGAGATCTTGTGTCATGAGACATCTAAATATCAAGATGTTTTAATATTTAAATCTGAGACATATGGAAATGTACTGGTCTTGGATGGTGTAATACAGTGTACTGAACGTGATGAATTTGCGTATGTTCAAAATTATTTGGATTATATTTAATTATGTACGTTAAATTAACATATTTTGTTTTTATAGTTATCAAGAATTGATTACGCATATTCCAATGACTTGTCACCCTAATCCTAAAAAGGTAGTCTTTACCATTTTTATTATCTATTATCGATGAATTATTTACATAATATTAATCACATATTAGGTTTTGGTGATTGGTGGAGGTGACGGAGGCGTTATTCGTGAAATTGTAAAACATGATTCAGTTGAAGAAGTTACATTATGTGAGATTGATGAGGTACATATTCATACATTTATAATGTATATTGGTAAATAATCAGATGCTTATATATAATGATTTATCTAGGCAGTAATTAGATTATCCAAGAAGTATCTTCCAGATATGGCAGTTGGATTTTCTCATCCAAGGGTTACTATTCATATTGGCGATGGATTTCCTTATCTAAAAGACAAACAAAATACTTTTGACGTCATCATTACTGATTCCTCTGACCCTGTTGGTTAGTGTGATAAAAATAAATATTGTAATTATAACACACATATATTAATAATATATTACATATATAAAATATAGGTCCAGCAGAATCATTATTTCAAGCAGAATATTTTGGGTTATTGAAAAATGCATTGCGTCCAGGCGGAGTTATTTCTACTCAAGGTAACTAACTAACTGAATAACCAACCAACCAACCAACCAAATAATTGACTAATTAACTGGCTATTCTTAAACAAAATTATATATCTATCATTAATTAATTCGCTCACTAACAATCAATCAATCAATCATTCTTAACAATAATGATGATGATGATAGGTGAATGTCAATGGCTTCATCTTCCATTAATCTCTGAAGTTCAGGGATATTGTAGATCAGTATTTAAAGTAGTTGATTATGCATTCACCACGATTCCCACATATCCTTCTGGTCAAATTGGTTTCATCTTATGTGGAAGAGATGATAACGTTGATTTTAGAAAACCAATTAGAACTTGGTCAGAAGAAGAAGAAGCCAAGTTATTTAAGTATTATAATTCAGAAATTCATAAAGCTGCTTTTGTCTTGCCTCAATTTACTAAAAATTTTTTGAAAAGTGCTGATGTAAATCAAAGTTAATTCCATGTCATGTGACTTTAATTAACGTAAGAAATAAATTTGTGACTCGTTATTTTAAAAAGGATAGGATGAAATATCTATAGACTTTATTTTTTTAGTAAAACAAGAATCTTTGTTTTTTTTTTTCGGTGGTTTTACACTTTAAAAAGTCTTTGGTTGATTCTTTAAAGAAATCTATTTTCAACGATGAGAAGGCAAAATCAGCTACTGTTTTTTCTTTACTAGCTTGTAATAATATAGACGACCAATCATTACTTAAAGGTTTAGGGCGAGGCTTTTGAGACTATTCAAAAGTTTTGTTAATTAATTCATTTCTGCAAAACATTTTTGTAGTCGGAAATTAAAGAGTAGGGTTTAATTGTCCATTTGGTTATCAGAGTGGTAGAGAACTCTGAGGTTTTGTGACTCGGTTTTGGTTATTTGCTTTGGTGGAAAGAAAGGTTTAATTTTTGGTTTTTGTTAAACGTAAACGTTTTTGTTTTCGTAAAAGAAATACAGTATAACCCTCGTTTCAATATATTTTCATAATGTGTAAAGTAATAGTAATATCAGTATAACAATGTATTATTATTAGAGTATAGGTTAATAAATCACATATAAACCATTAAACTTATTATGCTAAATATGTCCGGTTTAGATATAGATATCACTATTATTCTCGGTAACAAACAAAGACCGTTGCCCAAACCCTTTAATAATCGTCCTGGATATGATATGAAGTATGTTGTGTCATACATCAACAATTATCATCCTATTTATTATGTTGAAGAATTTGAGAAAATCGAAAGATCATATGACAACTTGTCTATCGTAAAACGGGATGAAAAACTTATTCAATGGGCAGTACGAGTTAGAATCAATCTTCAAGATTTATTAAGTAATAAAAAATATAGTTATTATCACCGATTGTTTTATTTGCATTATAATTACTATCTTATTACCTCATCCTTTCATATGACTGATGATCATTACATAACAGACTAAATAAGAGAAAGATCTTACAAGCTCTTACTTGAATGAGTAATCTCAATCTTAGTTACAGGTTGTGGTCAATAGTTCTTGAAAATTCATTCTTACAATTTAACTGGACAAAAGAAGCAAAAATTCACACGTATACGAGAAGATTTCAACCAAGTCATATCGAAGGAATATTAATTGCATATAGAAACGGTGATATCTCAACCCAACGTTGTAGGGGTGTAGAACCCGGTTGTTTCATTATTCAACAGAAAATACCTGATAATAATCAAGTTTTTCGAGTAGTTATAGGCGAAGAAGATAATTACTGGACAATAATCACTTTTTATATTTCATCCGCCCGTCGATACTGGGATAAAATGTGTATTAATCTAATTAAGTAAGCTAGCAACTATTTTGAACTTTTTTTATTTGTACATACACACACACACACACATATATATATATTAACCAAATTTACCTATAGAAAAATTTTCAACAAAATTAAACCGAACAAGAAAGTATGAAATTAAAATAAGTTTAGAGGCTTCTATTTATTTTCTTATTTACTTATTTACATCTGATTATGAATATTTATCAGAATAAAAAAGAATTTTCGACCAAAAATAATGAGCATGATCCTGATTGTAAAGACAGGTTTGCAATATCTGTCATTCAAATTTTATATTAAATCTGAAGCTTGCTATTTTTATTTAACATAGTATATATTTAAGGTTCATTGTGGATTCCGTATACTATGACGATTCAGATGCATTTTTGGTATACTTTACTCAAGAATCCGATGACATTTGTGATGAAGCAACTGGTTACCTCCTTGTCTGTTTTAATAATATTGGCAAAATAGCATCAATTCGTATAGCATCACCATCAAAGCATATCCGAGGGATAGCAAGCGAGGAGCCATCCTTTACACTCAATCCTACTTATGATGAGAAACGTGATGTATTTAAGATTAATTTTACAGATTCTGCTCCCATGACCACGTTCAAAAAAACTGAAGTTGAAGATGTCGAGCTGGAAATAGATAATGAAGGAAAGCTCGTTACATTGTTGTTTCACAATGCCAGTAACAAAATGTCAAACATATCAAAAACAAGTGTATAAAGAGAAAAGACAGAGATATCATCATATAATCATTTAAAAAAAATTTTAAATAATTTGCTTTTATACTAATCGGGTATTTTCGATATATAATAAAAAAATAAAACAATGCAACTTCTAATATAACTTCATAAGGCTCTTTTTGGTGATCTACAATGTATCTGAATTTGAAGTTTTAACTCTATTCAGTGAGACCCAATTCTTGAGGATGCTCTGGAATAACTACATATAGGTCTTCGTAATACCAAATATACCTTAGTACAATCCAATTCTCTTCACACAATTCTTTTTTTAATTGATCCCGATATAACTGTTTTTTAAATCCATTCTGATCTCGATGAAAGAATTTTAGATAACGCTCATGCTGTTCTCCTTGGACTTCGATTGCAAGACCATATTCTGGATAATAAATGTCAAGTTCTAACCCATATGGATATTCCCAAATTTTTGATGGAGGTTTTAAATACTCGGTAATTATTTTTCGACACAGGTCTTCATATTTATTTCGACAAAATGGACACCACCTATTATGTTTTATATGATTCAAATTTGCGTTCCATTCATGCCCTTTAGCACAACGCCATTGTAACGGAGCCTGGCAATTGACATACTTTTCCGAAAGACAGTTACCATTTTTACTATAAGCAATTTGTTTAGCTTCTTCAATAGTAGACCGAATATTACCTGCACAATGTGGACACCAGGTATTAGTATTTTTTACATGACTTAAATTTGCATACCACGTGTGTCCCTTAATACAACGCCATAATAAAAGTAAACGAATATTAACAAATGTTTTTGATAGACACTCACCATTCCTATTATGCGCTACTTGTTTTGCGTCTTCAAGAGTACGACGGCCTACACGTGAACACGATGGACACCAATTTCCATTTTTTACATTACTAAGTTGAGCTTTCCATTTATGGTTTTTAGCACAACTCCATTCTAGGGGAGCATGTGAATTGATATATTTATTCGAGAGACATAGGCCCTTTCGTTCTATTGCAATTTCTAAGCGTAAGAAGTTTATTCCGCACGCAATATGGACACCATGAATTAGAATTTTTTATATGATTAAAATTTGCATGCCATATGTGTGTCCTTTATTACAACACCATTGCAATGGTAACATGCAGTTGATATATTGATCTGATAGGCACAACCCATTTCATTTCTTTGCAATTTCGTGTGCATCTTTTATAGTGTATTTGGTTTTGCGAGTCATTATGAATAAAAGTACTTTTGTTTTCTAATATTAGTAAATCTTTAAATTACACAAACTGCTTGGAGAAATTATAAGAAAAGACCCGAATCATTAGCATCTCAAATCTGGAATGCTTTAAGAAACGATAACACCCCCAATGATAAGAAATTTTTAGGTCTAACTCCCCGTAAAGTGAAAAATCCTCAAACTCGGGATCAATTCAATCTCTGGATTGCTGAGAAACTTGCAATGTATAGACATTACCTAGTATGTACAACATCTTTCGTGGTAGAGAATATAAAGAATATAAAGAATATTATATTCCGTATGATTGGATAGGTGATAAGAAATACCAATTACACGATAGATTGCATAAGCATGTTGTAGATTTGCTAAGAGAACGAGGTTACAGAATAATTAATTCCAGACCTTGGTATGAAATGTTAAAATGGGTAGATAAACCAGATAAATATCTTAACAAATTTCGTCAGAATCGAATAATACGTCACAACTATTTTACATTGATAGTTGACGATCAATATGCGGAGCATAGAGTCTCTGACTCATATTTTAATGGATTTTTTTTTGTACCAGATTCCCATGTAAACTGAAAATAGTTATTATTATTTGCAACATCTAGATTTAATGTCATTAAACTAATTTGGCCAAGTTCATAGAACATCTACATCGTGTAAATATGGTCAGTTGATGTCTTGTGCGACTATATGCAGGGATGCCTAAAATTGGATTAACCGCACATGTTTTAGATTAAAAGATTATATATATATTAATATATATTCCATAAATCATTATTGAAATTACAAGTTCAAAATAATTTGTTGTAACATGATTAAGAATTGAAGGCGTAACTTTCAACGAGTAATTCTTTTCCGTTTTTTTAGTAAACCATAGCTAAAATTTTGCAAGGAAATAAAATAAGTCTCAAAGAATGCGTGTACAAAATATCACGTTTCTGGTTAAAACTTCATGTGGGTGTGCTAGGTAACAAATGAAAAAGTTCCTTCGATTTTAATAGTAAAAATTGACATGTTGCACAAAATTCCTACATAGTTATTACAGTAGACATGTCGATCGCGTGAAATGTCGTCTGACTGATAGTAACAAAGATTTTAAAATCCGTTGAAACACGAATTTAATTATAATCCGTTGAAACGAAGTACATTGAAACAAGGGTTATATTGTAAATGTTTTCTTGTAAACGTAAGGTGTTAAGATTGTTCGGTCAGATATAAAGTGCTACATTTATTAACCAAAGTCATTATCATATTTTCACTTTGTTGTATTGTGTTATTGTTGCAAACGTACGGCTGACTTTAGTTGGTCAAAGAAAGAAGGAGCTTCAGTAAAGCAATGATAGAGCCACATTTTATTTATTGTACTATAAAATGTGCTTACAGACTCGTCGAAACTTTCTAGGAACAAGAAAGAGGCAGAATCAGGATAAATCGTAAGACAAATTAGTTGACGAGCAATAAATTAATCATTGAAAACGAGTGTAACCCATAAACGTAAAATAACCAAATTGACAAAAAAGCTATCTCTCAGTAGGCTTGTATGTGAGTTAAAAATACATTTATATTATGACATTATGACATTACGGCCTAGTTATGAATTGCTGATGAACGTTTATCAATTATTCAAGAGTTGTATAGGTGTGTGATTGAATTAAGTGTTAAAGACAAGATCTGCGAAGCTTTCAAAGCAAGTTTTGTAAAATATACTGATGAATTATTCGACAGTTATATAGGCGAGTTTGATGGAAGTAAGTGTTAAAGAGAAGATGTTCGAAGTTTCCAAAGCAAATTTTTCAAAATATACTCGGAAATGTCATGCAACTAATAATATAAATACAAGTATTTCCATAAAATATATGTTTGATACTAAGTGGGGAGGGGATGATAGGTCTATTTATACGCTTCGCACATTCTTTGATCAGTCTATTTTAATTACATCGAAATCACGTGAAGACCATTTTTGAGAAATTTTGAATTAAGGCTCCGTGCGATCCAGCTTGTGAGGAGGGGCTTTACCCAAAATATCAAGAATTTAGTCAGTAGTCAAAATCAACTCATTGATCAACTAGAAAAGGCAATTGATAATTTACAACTAGATATAAATAATAAAATATGAGATACAGAAGAAGCAATGACAAAATAAGGAGATGGAGAAAAAATAAAAGATTTAGAGAGTAACCGTGAAAATGAACAAAAGTAGACAAAGCAAGAAAACAATCAAACAATTAAAGAATGGTATTACTGAATTGAAAAACAATTAGGATATTTAAATGAAGACAAGGAAAATAACCCTGAAGGTAAAAATATTACTCAGGAACTTTAGAATAAAAGTTAAAGAATTACAACCAAGCAAAAAGAAATTATTCAACATTAAGAAAGGTGCCAAAATACTGGTCAGGCTGAAATGAAACAGCAAAACAAATTTAATAAATCCAAACAATTAAGTCAAGAACAAAGTGAAAGTTCAATATTGATGTTATTGAGGGTTGCCATTATGTACCCTGAAGTTTCTTTTCACTGAAACGTCATTTTGTGATGTCATCAATAAGATATTACCCGCACAATTTCTTTGCCACACAAATCCTGGTAAAAAAATGATCAATTATAATTTGAATAAAAATAATTTTATTTTCATTCTTGGAATAGCAACTTGTTACTTATCGTACTTGCTTCTTGACTGTTTAAAAACGTCATCTTGTTCAATCACTAATCTTGATGCGAAAAAATTGAAAACAACTGCCAAAGGAGATTTTAGTGATCAAACTTCTCATAAGAACATAATTATCAAGTTGTTAGATGTCATATTTTTTTATACGCCATCTATATTCATTAAATGGATAATTTCAAATTTTCATCTATTGTCGAGTTTTTTTGTGTTTGCAGCACTATTCGCAATCTTTGTTACCTATTTATTAGGTTGGCTTTCTCAATATATTATAGATGCTCTTGGTATTTCTGACAGGGAAAAATTAAACAACCACAAAAAACAAAAAGAAATTTCAAATATGAAAAAGGATGATGATGATGTATTATTAGGTGGATTGAATAGCAAGAATAACATTAATGAAGAAATCTCTAAGGATTTATTACTTGAAAAAAATTATGAAAAAAAAAATGTTAAAAGAAAGAATATTTTAAAATCAATTAATCAAGCACTTAAATGATTAATGGATCTATTTATCTGTTTATATCAAAGTAGATAGGAAAGTTGGTGTTTTATTAAATAAGGAATTTTTAAATAAAAAAAAATAGGCATCAAAATTTAAATATATGTAAGATTTGTTTTTCTTAAAATGATGATAAAAATTTTAAGACTTACAAATATTTATTTTTCATATTTTTCAAATAATTTTTAAATCTTTCCCTTGTTAAGCTTAACATCCATAAACCAGTTTCTTTAAAAAAACTTTTAGTTATTTTTTTAGGCTCATAAGTTCCTGCTATTATCCATTGATTTGGTCTGTCTCTTGTATTATAATTATACACAACATATCTTGTAGTCTTTTGACTGTAATTTTTATTTCCTGCAAGTATATTTCCAAATATATCAAATACTACTAAATTCTTTATATGTATATTTTTAAAAAATAGATTTATTTGTTTTAATAATAAAACAATAACGACGAATATAATAATAATAATTAATAATAATAGTAATAATAAAACTTTACCTCATCAATTTCAATGCTTAATATTACTTGAGTATATAAGGATGTTTTAGAATCCAGTACTATAGATGCAGCACGAATGCATTCAACTTTAGGTTCTATTTGGTCATAGACATTCCAATAATATGTTCCTAGATGTCGATTTAATAAATTTCTTTTTATAACCTAAAATTATGTTTTTTGATTAATTATTCTACATATATAACATTTTGGAAATTCTTTAAAATAATCATTAATTAAATACACGATAAAATTCTGGGGTAACAAGTTCCTCTATAGCTTCCAATTCACCGCTAAATTAAACAATAATTTAGGTTGTTAGATGCAATTAAATGTAATGAAAAAAAGAAAATTTTTAACAAAAAAAAATTTTATATATTTACCTTGCAAAATATTTATTTAGATCAATGAACTTTTTTGCAAGCATATTTTTATTAATTTTTCCATTAAGATAAAGTTTTAAACTAATTTTATAAATGCAAATCAAATCTTTAATTTTGTTTTTTTTTTTTTGGTTATTAATGTATGTATATATTTATGTATATGTATACTTTCTACGGTTTTCGAACCAATTATATAATTGATTTGATTTTGTAATAAGATATTGTTTTGAATATATTGGATCGTTAATTGGAAGGTTAACAAAAGGTTCTTTATAAAAAATTTTCCCCAAATAAAAAAAAAAAAAAGTTATTATTAATATCATAAAAAGACAGAAAATAAAAAACTATAATTACTTATAATTATGGACTCTGTATATGGTTGTTGAGTTGGTTGTGAAGCAATCGTTGAAACATTAGAACCTTTAGTTCTTTTAAGAATGCTTGGAATCACATAATTTAAATTTGCTCCCAATTTTTTTATCATTGCTAAAATTTTTCAAAGAGCAATCATCAAACATGTGATAAACATCGCTATTTCTTTTTTTTTTTTTTCAAAGTTTTTAAAAATAGAAGTTTTTTTATTCTAGTTGATTGATAAAGCTATGTGGTAAACTTATATGTATATATAGTGCAAATAAAGATTCAATGGGAACACTACAAGAAAAATGTACTAAGAGTAGAGAATATGACAGTTTAACAGATTTTATAGAGATATATATATGTGTATGTATATATATATATATATATAATATAGAAACTTTATTTTCTAGGTTTTTTAACAATTAGAACAGGACAATGTGCATTATGTTGACAATATTCCGAAAAACTTCCTAAAAATAATCTTTAAATATATAAATTTAGTAATCTTTTTCTATAATAAAAATTTTTTTTAAAAAAAATAACATTAACCAACCTTTTCCACAAAGTCAAATCTTTACTTCCCATAACAAGTACATCAACTTTTTCATTTTCAGTATAGTCAACTATAAGATTACGCGAATCTGATTGGGTTTTTATTATTTCAACTTTACAATTTATCTATCAAGTAAAGTATTTATATCAATTAATTGGATGTTACTATATGATTATTATATATTTATTATGTACATTAGCTGCTTTGAGTTTTTCAACAAATGGTTCCATTGATTTTCGCGTTTTTCCTTCAATCTCCAATAATTATAATAATAATTAAAAATTTTATATAATAACTACTACTATGACCAAATAAAAAAATAAAATGAAAAATTTTTTTACTTCATTTTCCCATTTTTTAACATATTCAGGAGCATAATTAATGTTCATGCCTACAATTATTATCATTAAAAAAATGTATTATTATAATCAAATAACTATATAAACTATATATAATGGTTTTTTTTTACCCAAATCTGTTACATCGAAATCTGAGTTAAGGTATAAAGCAGAAACCAAGTGTACGTCATCTCTATCAGGTTTTAAGAAATTTTCTATAATCCAATCTATTGTGTACTCTGTTTCTTCTGAACCTGGATCTAAAGCAACTGCTACTTTTCTACTAACCGGACTTGTCATTATTATTTATATTTGTGAATGTGTAATCTATCACTATGTGAATTTGCAATTCAAAAATCAAGAAATATACAACATGTGATAAACGCATATAATTTATGTGGCACGTCGCATAAAATAGTGGACAATAATTTATCACGTCATAATCACGATAGGTCGGTGGGTTATGTGACCGACTTGTCGAAGTTTACATATTAATACGACATGCTGCAACAAGTGAACATTGGTGTTATTTCTTTTTTTTTAATTATTATATGACACTACATATCAATTTGATTTTCTTATGATGGTATACTCTATATATTAAATAAATTTTATTATTAATCTAATAATAATGTGGATTCTGAATTCAAAATTCAAAATTCAAAATCTTACTTTGAATTTAAATTTATTTCACACTCAAATGAAGCTCCGTTTTTGAAATGATTTTTAATTGGAGTCGCAGTCCAATGTCTGGTATGTTCTTATAATAAAAATAACCTTATTGGGACCTTATTGGAACCATCAACTTCGACAGCAATATCTAAACTGACATGTATCGTGGGGACACTTGCAATAATTATGTACTCATTGCAGTCCCAAAATGAAATAAAACAAACAACATTAGTTTAATCTTATCTTATAAATGTTAATAACAAGAATCATATACCTAGTTTCGAACAAACTATACATCCTGTCATTAAATATAATTTTAAATGGTTGCTGTCACTAGAAACTTCTTGGTCACTGTTATTAAAAATTCGATTATCATTAGTAGTGTTGATTGTGTTTGAAATTGTAATGGGGTTATTGGTAGGTGAAATTGTATTAGCATTGTTGGTAGGATTAATGCAGGGTTGGCAAATTGACTGGTCCATTGAGAACAGATGGTCCATTGCCATTAATAAAATACTAAATATGCTTAAAGTGTTACACTAATGGACCCAATGGGCCACCAATAGACCATCAACGGACCGCACATTTGCCAACCCTGGGACAGTTTCCCTTGTTGTAGCCGCAGTGAATGTTATGATATTGTTATCTGGTCCTCGGAAATTTTGATTTGCATATTTATAATAAAATACCCAACCAACTCTCTATTTGAAAAATGTACATGACCGAATCTAAGATACTAAGTTTGATTAGAAAAAATAATTTAATTATGAATAGCTATTTGATATTTTTCGCCTTTTTGCTATTTTTGACATGTACAAACTCAGCATCGGGAAAGAAAGAATTCATCCAATTTTCGAAATATTCACCATTTCTATTAGCGTGATCAGAAGAAAAAAAAATAATAAATGTAGATATTTTTCTAATTATCGAAGTGGAGGCAAAATTATCTTCGCTTGGAGGTGGTTTTGTTTCACTTGGAAGTGGTTTTGTCTTCACTTGGAGGTGGAAATGGATTCCAAGTGAAGGTGGAGATGAATTCCAAGTGAAAGAGAGGGATTCCAAGCAAAGATAGATATCTCTCCAAGTTTATTCAAAAGTGTCGTAGAAAAAAAAAAGTAAACTATGGCACGCCGTGCTGGACAAAAGTGTACTACATTTTGTTGTAAAAAAGTCGCGACATTTTGTGGGAATTGGACTAGCAAAATCAGTCCTTTTAAAATTGGTTACACATGTTTTTAAAGAAAGTATTCCAAGCCCTATCTCTTTCCAATTGTAACCCTTGTATAATAGATTAAAATAAAAAATCAGAGGAGAGGTTGATTTTCCTAGTCCAATTCCCATTTATGAAAAATCACCACTCTTATTATTAAATTAAATATTTCTTTTTAATATTAGGGCTGACCGCGTAACTCAAGTGAAAACTCATACGGTGCAGATCATCTATAATCATTAATTGCTTATAGTAACAATTGGTCAACTTCAAAATACTAAAACAAAAAAA